GAGAGAGAGAGAGAGAACATGAAGCTCTGTTGGTAGGTAGGGAGGTGGGGAGAGTCTGGGAAGAGTTGGGGGAGGGAAAAACATGATCAAAAAATATTGTCTAAAAAACTTAAATACAAAAAAAAAACCCAAACAAACAAAAAGTCCAAACCAATAAGTAGAAGGGAAATCTGGATGGTGGAGATGGGCATGGAAATGCCCAGCAGATGGGTGGTGGTTGAGACCAGAGAAATGAGCAAGATCACCAAGGAAGACCACATAGGTAGAGAATCACAAAACAGCAAATCACGGTGTAGAAGAAGAGAATCTTGAAAAAAGGAAAATAAAATAAAAAAGTATAGGCGAACTAGGAGGTAAATGGAAGTACAGTTGCTCGAGTTTGGGTCTGGTTCGTCCTTCAAGGGCTCATGGGTCGGAGACTTGATCACCAGCCTCCAGTACTACTGAGATGTCACAGAACCTTTAGGATGTGGGGCCTCCTAGGAGGAAATGATACCACTGGTAGTGGACTCTGGAAAGAGATATTTGGACCATAGCACCTTTTACCCTTCCTTCTTCCCAGTCACCATGAAGGGAGCAGCTTTGTTCTACCATAAACCTTTGCCATGAAGTTCTACTTCACCACAGAGCAGTGGAGACACGCTGGCCACGGACAGACGCCTCTGAAGATGGGAGTCAGGCTCATCCTTTAAGTTACTATCTCATGACCACATTACTATAGCGACTGAGTCAGTGTCTACTTTTCATTGCAGAAAACTAGCTTAAACAGCTTCGACAGATACAAGATTCTGTATGGAATAAACCGCTTTGTTTTTCTCCCAAGGACATAATTGACAAGTATTTTAAAAGCCTGCCAATTTCATTAGTAATTAACTTTGCGAATTATAGATTTAAAGTTGACATTGACAGAGAATAGAGGGCTATGTGATACCAAATCCTGTTCACAGTAATCCTCCTGAAGGAAGAACTGACTGGCATAACCATTTGGAAGAGCAATCTGAGCGTAGAGGAAAACCTGATCTGTGCATGCTAGTTGAGCCAAAGCATGTGCTGTTGTCTATTACTCTATAGAAACCCATCAGGGTTCATTGATTAGAACACTGAACCCACACTTGTCTGTAGTAGCAAGTATCTGTTACTTGAAAACGGATGAAAAGTAGGTTGGGAATGCACAGGAGAGTACTCTGTTGTAGCTGGAAGTCACGGCAAACAGGAAAATGGACACATCTAAAAAAGCTCAGTGTCGAGAGGGAAAGGGAAGTCAAGCGATGGCCTATCGTTTATGTAAATTAGAATCTACAGAGATAAAAAGAGTGCTGTGGCTTTTTGAGATGCACCCGTATCTGACCCACATTAGAGAAGTTGGAATGGTGTCTCCTCAGGAGGAGGGAAGTGAGAATAGAGGATGAAGAGGAAGAAAATTAAATGAGGATGAGGTTTTGCAGAAGCCTGTGGCCATAGCGTGTGGGGATGGAGTCAAGGTAAACTCAACTTGTGCACCTGAGGTCCAAAGGAGAAAAAAATGAATCTGGCTTCCATCATGTTTGGTTAATTTATTCTTTCAAAATTTCATATATATATACAATGTATCTTAATCATATTCATCCCTCACTCCTCCCTTCCAACTCCCTTCAGGACCCTTGCCTCCATCATATCTCCCTCTAAACTTCATGTTCTCTCTCTCTCTCTCTCTCTCTCTCTCTCTCTCTCTCTCTCTCTCTCTCTGTCTCTCTCATATATATATATATATATATATATATGAATCCAACTAATGCTACTTGTACATGCACAGGAGTGGGCCATTCACTGAGGCATGGAGAACCTACCAGAAAAGCAACCCTCACCCCAAACCATTAACCGCCAATAACTCCTCAGCTAGGGGTGGGGCCTTGTGGGCCCCTCTCCTCTCCATGCTGGGATTTTTAACTGGCTTGATCTTATGCCGGTCTTGTGTAGGTAACCACAGCTGCTGTTAATTCATGTATGTAATAGCCTTGTCAGATGCAGAAAACATATGTGAAACATACATTTCACAACCCTCCTCCCCGTCCTCTGCCTCTTACATTCATTCTGCCCCCCTCCTGTGGGAGATGGTGTTGCTATCACAGTCACTTAATGCTGAGTACTTTGAACAGTAATGTGTTTCTGCATTAACCACTACCCATTGCAATAGGAAGCTTCTCTGACCAAGGTTGGAAGTGATGAAAATCTATGGATAGAAACATAAATATTTAGAAGTCAGTCTGACAGCAGGACTATTATAAACAACAATAGGTTCTCCTCTAGGACCTATAACTTCCCTAGCCATGGCTTTTTGGACCACGTTTACAGTATCAAACAGGAATCCCCTGCTGCGGAGCAGACCTCAGATCCAATCAGGAGAGTGGTTGGTTACAGCCTCTGACTGTCTTGCCCCTATTGCAGCAGAGGAAACATCTTGCCTATCGGGTCGATATTATAGCATGTGAGGTCCAGTGCTAGGTATGGCCATCGATGCCCTTTCTCCCCCAGCAGCCTGTATAACACCTTCCAGCACCAGGGAGGCTATCTAGCTGGAAGAGTTTCCTGAACAGTTCAGGACTGATTTCTCTGTGGCCTACAAACAAAACATTCGGTGTCTTCAGCAGAATCTTACCATCTAGTTATGGTAGGCAGCCACGAGCAAGCATATTGTTTTAGAGCCTTCCGGGGCTTCCCTGACTCATAGGGAGGTAAGCCATGTCTGGCACTAAGACTTTTCATTGCTTCTTGGAGTAGTATTGTTCACTAATGTTCACTAATGTACTTCTGTTCGAACTGGGTTTTAAAATGATATTGTTAGTTAGCTAACAAGCCAGTGTGGTTTCATAAGCCTTCTTCATATACGCTTAGTTTTAGTTAAACCACCCTTACCCTTTTTCCCACTCCCCCATCCCCATGCCAACTTAAACCATTAGCCTAGTATTCGCCCTCTGTTATTTGACATCACATACGTTCTACTATCCCTTCTTATTACACACACACACACACACACACACACACACACACACACACACGTGTGTGTTTTTTTAACTTGGATTACAAGATCACTAATAGCTAAGTAGCTTCTTCATGTCTACTTCATTGTGGCTAAGCCTTTGCCTGGTCCCTCACTTCCCCACCCCCCTCACTCTACTAGCAGCTCAAGCCCTTCTGCCCCTAGCATTCTCCCATCTGCTCCTATTTCACCTATATTTCTATTGTCCCCCCAAGTCTTAATTCATCCCCTAGGCTGCCAATGGTTCTGGTTTCCTAGGTTCCACATTTAACCATGTTAAACAAACAAAACAAAAGTTTTGAAGCTAGGGCCCTCATAAGACAGAGAACATGTGAAATCTGTCTTCTTCTTCTGGGTGACTTCACTCTATACTTCCTTTTTTCTAGCTCCATCCATCTACTTACAAACTTCATGCTTTCACTTTTCTTTGCAGCTGAGTAATATTCATATACATATATTATATATTTATATATATCACATTTTCATTATCCATTCATTAGTTTCTAGACATCTGAGTTGATTCCATTTCCTAGTGTTTGTTGGTAGAGCATCAATGAACATGTATATGTAAGTATTTCTGTATTAAGAAACAGAGTCCTGCCGGGCGGTTGTGGCGCACGCCTTTAATCCCAGCACTTCGGAGGCAGAGCCAGGCGGATCTCTGTGAGTTCAAGTCCAGCCTGGGCTACAGAGTGAGTTCCAGGAAAGGTGCAAAGCTACATAGAGAAACCCTGTCTCGAAAAACCAAAAGAAAAAGAAAAAAAAAAAAAGAAATAGAGTCCTTAGGGTATATTCCCAGGAGTAGTGTGGTTGGGCCATATGGTATTCCTGAGAAACCTCCTAACGATTTCTATAAAAGTGTTTCCCCCTTCTCCACATCCATACCAGCGTTTGTTGTTATCTGTACTCCTGATGATGGTCATTCCGACTGGAGTGAAATGGAATGTTAATGTAGTTTTAATCTGTACCTCCTTGATGTAGGATTAGCATCCCACTTTTTTTTTTTTTTTTG